GACTGAAAGGTCCCAGGTTCGATTCTGGTCGAGGGCATGTACCTTGGTGTGCAGAAGGCAGCTGGCCGATGCTTCTCTCTCATCGATGTTTCTAACTCTCTATCCCACTCCTTTCCTCTCTGTAAAAAATCAATAAAATACATATTTTTTTTAAAAAAGTGTGTCATAATTCCCAGAGAAAGGAAAATAAATTCCGCATTTTGAGAAAGAAAGCCATTAGTCAATATGTAAAGCTCCTTCCGCAGCAGGCGTGGGGGACGTCCCACCCACAGGCTGTGTAAGGCCCGCGGGGTCATTTGATTTGGCCCTGCCAAGGCATTAGGGTTGAGTTAATTAATGTTTGACAAACTATAGCATGCTAATTTTTAAGGTGGTAATTTGGTATGGCCCACAAATGATGTTATAAATATCCAAATGGCCCTGGGCAGAAAAAAGGTTCCCCACCCCCGATCTACAGGAAAACGGGAGTTTCATCTATCCACTGAGTATAAAATTAGGAGTGTCGTGCACTTAAGGAAATTCACAAACATTAAAGAAGAAGGGCCTTTTCAAAAATGAAAACTGGATGAGAAATCGTTGGGCCTATATCTCAGAGGAGGCTCTTAAGGGCTGACTTTGCATTTTAGATCTTGTCCCCGTGCCCAGTGACAAGAGCGGCCGGACTAGCAGGCCCAGTGTGAACATCTGCTGACGAGAACATACAATGTGTGGCTCCTCTATGACAACAAAAACTATTCCTACTGGCATCGAGCTCTGCATCCATTAGGTGAGAAATTGCACAGATCCAGGCACTCCCACAACTGGATCACCACACACCCCAGCCACCACCTCCTGCACCACCCCCGCCACAGGCACGGCCACCTTGTCAGGCGCAGCCCCGCAGAACCGAATCCTGCCCCTGCATTTCTAGGAGCTACATTTTTCTTCCTCATGCCTGCAAGATGCTCACCAGCGAAGAAAGGAATGCTGGAAAGGTGAAGTATGAACATGTGACTGAGGGAAAGGTCTCAGCCCCTGATGTCCAGAAATTCCCGGTTCTGGAAGCGCCCAGAGCTCCAGCTGGGAGGGCACTGCCTGCAGGGTGGACTCTGCATTTTTTTAAATAATCTCCCAAAAGAGCCCCTGTCATGATGCTGTCCCTCCTTTATCTCCAAAGCAAATCGTGTTCTTCTGAAAAAAAAAGTCTAGCAAGAAGTCCCTCTTTTACATCTAAATATAAAAACACCACAAAGAATATGTCATTGGTAGTGTCCGGTGTCGGGAAGGGAGAGAGGGAGAGTCAGGGCGGGAGAGAGGGAGCTTTCAGAGGCTGGTGGCGAACAGTGGGAAGCCGGCCAGGCTCCGGCAGCAGAGCCCTCCAGCCCCTTCCCTGGCTTATCTGCCCATGTGCAGCGCACGGACTTCTGTGGGCGCCTCCCGACCGCACCCGGACTTGACCCTCAGGCCCTAAACTGACAGCCCTGATTGCCTTGTTTGAGAACCAAAAAGAAAAAAGGAATTTTGGGGCGAACATAACTTTAGAAAATGATTTTACCAGAAGGACCACAGCCACACACTTTCAGAGTCCCCCGGTCCTCTTTCTGGGAGCGCACCTAACGCTTTAATTGTCCAAGTTAAACGACCGGTGGAATTTCTCCAAGAAAAGCCGCTTCTCCTTCATTCGGGTTGTGGAGAAGCGGCTGAGTTTAAAGGCTCCAAATGTAGTGTATAGGAAGCGCCCCCTCCCCCTGCCGCGGCTCGGTCGCCGGATGGATGGTTTGGGGGAGGGGGTGCTGTCGTGGAGTGCACGTCCGCCCAGGTCCCTGTTGCGCCCGGAATCGGCGGGGATTTCATGAGAAAAGTGGACCCAGCGGCCCCCACCCGCCCCGGAGTCCGCGACCCCGGCCGCGCCGGCTCACCTCCGTCAGGGTAGGGCGCCTGGGCCCCCGGCATCCTGGAGCGCCCTCCGCTCAGACGCAAGCTGGGTTGGCCCACCGGGATAGTCTTGGGGCTCAGGGGCTCGCCCCCAGGCCTGGAGGTTTCGCTTGGGCTCGTCCTGCCACCACGTTCAGCTCCGGATCCCAGTCGCGCGTCCCCGGACCGGCTCCCTCGGCCTCTGCGCGCGCCAGCCGAGCGCAAACTTGCCCAGCTCCCCGGGGGCGGGGCCCGGCCGCATCCCGCCTCCATGCCCACCTCCAGCTCCCAGCGCCGCGCCCCCGGCTCCTCCGTTCCTCCTCCACCCCCTGCCCTTCCCCGCAGCCGCCCGCCGTCTCCCGGCCACCCTGGCCCCCAGCGCCCCGCCGCAGGGCTCTAGGGGCCGCTCGTCTCCCGCCCCGGCCCCAGGGCGGCCTCCAGACCTCGCGCCTGCCAGGCTAGCTCCCGGACCCACCGGGCCCAAGACCCAGCGGGGACCCGTCCGAACTGGACCCGGGGCTGGGAACGGGGGATCGCGCCGACTGCGAGTTTGGGCCAATGATGACTATTAACGACCATTATTGCGACCACGGCCATTTCCGTTCGAAACGGACAAACCCTAGCTGGTAGGGGAGCGCCTGGCAGGCTGCGCCTGGGGCCCGACGCGCGGCTCCCCTTCGGAGCCGGGGTGCAAGGCGGGCGCCTGGCCCACGCGCCCCGCGTCTGCATCCTGCGCTGGACACGGGGGCCGCCCGGCCGCGAGCCGCCGCGGGGACCTCAGCGACCCTCGCCCACGCACGCACGGGTCGTCTTTGGTGATTGAATAAGACGCTCCTGGCGAAGCGCTCCCGAAAGGAGAAGGCCAGCAGGCGACTGCGAATCTCTCTTGGAAACGGAACGCGGCGGCCCCGGAGTGAGCGAGCGCCGCAGCCGGCCTGGACCTTCCGGCGGCGGAGCGGGAGGGGAGGCGTGAAGCAGCCGGGCACCCGGCCGCCGGCGGCCCGCGCGGCTGTGCAGTCCCGGGCGGACGGACTGGAGCCGCAGGCGGCGCGGAGAGAGGTGGGGACCCTGGGGAGGGGCCGCCCTCAGATGCCTGCCCGTCGCGTGCGCTCTGCTCCAGAGGAGGCGCCCAGAGCAGCCTTTCCCTGGCGCCGGGGGCTGGGCGCTGAGGGCACGTGCCATGCCCGGCACCGAGTCCCGGCTGGGCTCCGCACGGCTCGCCGCGCCGAGAAACCCGAGCCTGGGCAGGTCGGCCGGAGGGCGGAGCGGCGCCAGCCCGGCCTGCCCCCAGGGCTCCGGGGAGGCGGCTCCTGCCCTGCCCTGCCCCTTAGTCCACCTGCCTGTCCGCCCCCAGCACTGGCCTTCTGGACTCACTCATGGTGTCTTGTACAAGCTCCGAGAAGCCGCATCCGTCCCAAATGGCAAGTGAGACCGAAAGTGTCTCTATTTTCCACTCCCATAGCATCAAGTCAGGAAAAGGCGGGGGGGGGGGGGGGGGGGGGGAATGTGACTTGGGCCACTTGCCATCAGCAGGGCAACAAGATACTGTACTAGCCCCGGTGTCTGCGACCCCAGAAGCCCTAGAAAATAATGGGGCTCCTCACCGCAGGTGGCCCAAGGGCCCCGGGAGCGGACACAGCGGCCTTGCTGAAACTCCTCTCTGACAAGGCTGTTTCCCCAAAGATTCCCAGTCCTGGGGACCGTCCCCTCACAAGCCCCCCCCCCCCACTCACTCCCTGCTCCCTGGCCTAAAGCTCAGTCACTGGAGCCTGACAGGGGCCCCTCTGAGCTCCCACACCGCCCTCAGACCAGATTCCCAGGTTCCCAGCCTTTCCTCAGGAGGCCAGCCCTCATGGGAAGTCTCTGAAGACAAGTCTCCGCCGCACCCCTGCTCAGCAGGCAGCGAGCGCTCTGCACAGCACAATGCCCGCCTGTACCTGTAGACAGAGTGGGAGTTAGCCAGTTCCCGGCCTGCAGCCCTGGAGGACAGTCAGACCAAGTGACTTCGCGCCCGCCGCGTGGAGAACTGGCTAACCGCACCGTGCTAACTGGTGAAAGAAAACATTTTCCAGTTGCAATGGCCACGCCTGGCTTGCAGCACCTTAACGGGATCAAGTATGTAGTGGGATCCAGTACGTAACAGGATCAAGTATGTAAGTGTGTAACGAGGGCCACGCATGCTGGATCAAGCTGGCAGCGCGGGGTGATGCGGAATCCAGCGCACAGTAGCACCCATGCTCTGTTCTTGCTAAAATGCTTAACCTGAATCAGAGGTCAGGCGTGGAGCCTGCACTTCCTTTACTGGATGGAGAAGGGAGCGAGCAACAAGGGGAATGACACCAGGCGGAGCGGTTCTGAGAGTGGCCGTCCTAGAGTCAGTCATTGGCCTGGGCTCCTCAAACAGGTCAGTGTCAGAAAAGGGGTGGCAATGGTCCTGGTACAAACACAGCTAACGTGATGCACCATTCATAACCACAAGCTGGAGCCTGACAGCGCCTGCATCAACTGACCGTCACGGAAGACAAGTGTCTGACGGGTATTGAATGCTGTCACAGGGGTCTGTTGATGTTATTGGGTGCCATAATAGCACACTGCTTCTCTAGGAGAATAGCCTTATTTGGGGGATATTTCACCCTGTTAAATAAAGGGTGACATGGGTTGATGTCTGAAACTTGCTTATAAATTATTCTGCAAAAACAATACATACACATACAGCTGATACAACAAAGTGTTAGCAATCTTGTTGGTGGAAATGGGGAGGGAGCTGTACAATGTGTTCCCTTTCCTTATATGTTTAAAAAATGTCATAGTAAAAGTTGGAGAAAACTCAAATATTTCTCCACCTCTCAACTCAGGCTATCAAACCAAATCTAGGCTTATGGGGTAAAATAAAAAGATGGTATGATTTATATCTGTATACTCTTGAAAGCCACATGGTCCCAACATTGAATAACATTTGAACAAATATATTACTTATTTATTTGTAATTTTTAAAGTAATATATATTTTATTGATTTTTTTTACAGAGAGGAAGGGAGAGGAACAGAGAGCCAGAAACATAAATGAGTCGATTAGCTGCCTCCTGCACACCTCCCTCTGGGGATGTGCCCTCAACCAAGGTACATGCCCCTGACCAGAACTGAACCCGGGACCCTTCAGTCCGCAGGCTGATGCTCCATCCACTGAGCCAAACTGGTCAGGACTATTTGTAATTTTTAAAAAGGAAATGGATTCACTTTCCCTGCACGAGCGCCTGCAGCCTGGCACACAGGTGCAGTGTGAGGAAGACCCTCAGCACAGGTAAGAGGCCGGCGCCAAGACGGGGACTGCAGGGCTGAGGACTGAGGGCTGGGACGGCAGACCCTCCTCCTGTAAATGTCCTTATTGCCCCCATCCTCCTCCCTCCGGGCCTCTGCCTCCTGCTCCCAGGACACCCTCCTCAGTCCCTCGGTCAGAATTAATCTGCTGTGTCCTTCTTAGCTCTGTTTTAGCTCTCATCTTGAGTAAATGCGCGTGCTGTCTTTTTATTGCAGAAGCAGCGCTTCTAGGGTGCACTCAGGACAATGTGGGGTGAGCCACAGCCGGGGGGAGCTCTGGAGCTGGGGGCGGGCGGGGGCAGGGGAGGCACCGGGTGGAAAGGAGCCCTGGGCGGGGTTGGGACGCGGTGTGGCTCTCTGACAGATCACCGTGAGTGAGGTCGCTCACACAGGGCCGGGGAGAGATGACCTGGGTATGGATTTGCGAAGGGAAACTTGGCCCTGTGTGCAGTGACCCCGTCTGGACTCGAAGCCCCTGACTGGCCGCCAGAACTCTTTCACAGGAAATACTCATTCGTTCACAGACACCGCCAGAGCTGAACTTCGCAGCTTTAATCGTGACTTCATTACTACAGCGCCTGTGCCATCTTCATGCCTCATGCACCCCTTTCTCCACCCTGAATGGCAGCCAGGAACCAACAGAGATTCCGAGAATTATTGTATTTACATTTCCTATTTTGTGAGGATGTTTATGATATTCAGACACCTAACTAGTGAGTGTGTGTTCATGTAAGGATGTAACTGTGTGCATGTGTGTGTATGTATGTACACAAGTGCACATGTGTGCTTGTGTGTATATGAGTCTATGTACAATGTGTGTAGATATGGACATGTGTGCTTATGGGCATGTGTGCTTATGGGCATGTGTGCTTATGGGCATGTGTGTGGGTGTATGTGGGTGTTTGGGTACGCATGCGTGCTGCCCAGGAACTGTACTTTTGTGAGGGTGGTAATGTGCCCACCCCTTCATGGAACATGAGCACCTGGACCCTGTGGTATAAGAGAAAATAAATGTTTGGTCTCCTGTTCCTAGTCCTTGGCCCAGATCTCCTAAAACCAGTCAGGATTGGGGCTGAAGCAGGAAGGGCTGGAGATGGAGTTAATCATCAATGGCCAATGATTTCATCAATGCAGCCTGCATCATGAAGCCTTCACAGAACTCCTACACAGCAGTGTTTGGGGCGATTCCAGGTTGGGGCACACATCCATGTGCTGGAGGGTGGCACACCCAGAGAGGCGCGGAGCTCCATGGCCCTCTTCCCCATACCTTGCTCGATGCACGTCTTCCGTCTGACTGTTCCAAGCGGTAGCCTTTACAATAACCCAGTAACATAAGTGAGGTGCTCCCTGAGTTCTGTGAGTTGTTCTAGCACACGACCAAGTGGGGAAGGGCAGGAGCCTCCCAGTGTGTAGTCGGCCTGGCAGCAGACCCAGCGGGAGCAGAAGAGGCGGGAAAACGTGAACTCAGCCCGGGGCCAGGGGACTGCCGTGTTTGTGGTGTGTGCGCAGGGTGTGTTCTCTGGGGAAACCGCGTACTCTGAAAGCTAGAGGAGAAAGGACGGCACTCTTGATCCTCTCCATTATGTTGACAGACGAGAGTTGTCAGGGCTTATGGTGATGCCTGCATCTGAATCCCACAGGCTGGGCGGGTAGCTCAGTCTTCAGCAGCCCCCATGCTTTGAGTTAAGTTAGCCCCCAATGTGCCTGCCTTGCTGGCTGCCACGGCTGGGAAATTGGGGGTGGGGGGAGAGGGGGCGGGTGTGGAGGGTTGGCGGGTGGGCCAGTGCCCCCTGTCTCCAGAAGACGTTGATACACACTGTCTGCGGTGTGATTCCTGTGGCTGCCGCGGCGGGCGTGTGCGCAGGCCTGCCTGCACTCTGCTGGGACCTGTTCTGTGTCCTCCGCCGCCTCGACTTTTTGAATGAGCGTCTGCAGCATTGTTGGAGTCCGGCTTTTTCTTGGCTGCAGAAGGGTTTCCTGGGCGCGGCGGTGGAGTTAACCATAATAGCACTTGTGGATGTTCTCACGCCTCCAGCGTCAAAGGCCTGTGGGTTTTACGCAGAAAAGGCTGAGGCGTCTTGATGGGAAAGAAAGCAAATCTCAGGCCTGACTGGTGCATGTTCTGGAGCTTCACACACACACTCCCGGAGCCTCACAGCAACCCTGAGACCAACAGCAGCAGCATCCCATTCCGCAGAGAGAAGTCTCAGGCCTGACTGGTGCATGCCCAGGAGCTTCACACACACACTCCCGGAGCCTCACAGCAACCCTGAGACCAACAGCAGCAGCATCCCATTCCGCAGAGAGAAGTCTCAGGCCTGACTGGTGCATGCCCAGGAGCTTCACACACACACTCCCGGAGCCTCACAGCAACCTGAGATCAGCAGCAGCAGCATCCCATTCCTCAGAGAGAAGTCTCAGGCCTGACTGGTGCATGCCCAGGAGCTTCACACACACACTCCCGGAGCCTCACAGCAACCCTGAGACCAACAGCAGCAGCAGCCCATTCCTCAGAGAGAAGTCTCAGGCCCAGCGATGACTGCACATCCGCCCAGTGTCACACAGCTGGCAAGCGGCAGGCTGGAGAGCTTAGCCCACTTGGAGTTTGTAGGTTTTAGCTCTTTGGAAACTGAACCCCCCCTGAAAGACATTGGACTAAACTTTATGTGTGGATCCCTGGACCCCCGTGGCTGGCACCGAGGGCAGAAAGGGGAGGAGGATGACCATCCGCTGACCCTCACTCCTGTCAGCCCCCACATCTGCTCTTGGTTCTGGACTGTGTGTGGCTGGTTTGGGGGGCCAGATGGCAGCTGCCCGGATCCTACGGAACAGTCCTGTCAAACCCATTAGGACCACTAGCCAGGCTAGAACGCTGTGGTGAGAAGTATGGGACTCTGAGTCCACCATCACGCCTATTTTATAAAGAAACTGTTGACCTTCTGAGCTTCAGTGTCTGGTATATTGTACCATGTTCAATGGGTAAAATGTTAAGTACCCTGGCATTTGAGTGGGTCACAGAAATTCTGCAACGTTACACAATACAGACAGTCCGCGGGTTACAACGTACATCGTTTCTTGGTTACGTGGCCATCTCCATTTATTTATAAAAAAAAAAAATTCCGTCATTTCGATGTATATACATATGTGCTTTATGTTTTTTATTATTTATTTACCACAAGTAAAGGTCAGGACTTGTTATCTTTCTTTTAATTTTTTTTTTACTGTTTCACTTCATTACTGCTGTGTATGTGCTCCATGTGAGTGACGTAGGTGCTTGTGTAGGTGGGTTCCGACTTACGGCAAATATCGCGTTACCCTGTGCTGAAGAAACGGATCTCTGACGTAGCCCAAGGACCTACTGTATGCACACAAGTGAAGCTTTCCACACTAATTGAATGGAAACCACCCACAAGCTTTTCTTCTTCTTCCTTTTTTTACAGTGAAAATATTTTTATTTTATTATTTTTTATTATATTTTAGTGGCTCTGGGATTTTTTAAAAAAATCTTTATTGTTAAAAGTATTACATAGATCCTCCTTTCCCCTCCATTAACCTCTTCCAACCCCTCCTCTCCTCCCCTCCCACCAGGCCCTCACTACCCCCTTGTCTGTGTCCACAGGTTATGCATATGGGCATACAAGTTCATTGGTTGATCTCTTCCCACCCACCCTCCCCTGCCTTCCCTCTGAGGTTCAACAGTCTGTTCATGCTTCTATAACGCTGGGTCTATTTTTGATCATCAGTTCATTTTGTTCATTAGATTCCACATGTGAGTGAGATCATGTGATACTTATCTTTCTCTGACTGGCTTATTTCACTGAGCATAATACTCTACAGGTCCCTCCATGCTGTTGCAAATGATGAGAGTTCTTTCTTTTTTATTGCTGTGTAGTATTCCATTGTGTAAATGTATCATAGTTTTCTTTAAAAAATCTTTATTGTTGTGATTATTACAGATGTCCCTCTTTCTCCCCCCATTGCCCTCCTCCACCCAGTTCCTGCCCTGCCCCTGGCCTTTGACACCCTATTGTCTGTGTCCATAGGTAATGCATATATGCATATAAGATTTTTGTTTAATCTCTCCCTGTCCCCTCCCACCCTCCTTTTCTCTGAGAATCATCATTCTGTTCCATTTCCATGACGTTGATTCTATTTGATTCACCAGTTTATTCTGTTCATTATATTTCTTATTCGTTTACTTTGATTTTTAGATTCAATTGTTGATAGGTATGTATTTGTGGCCATTTTGTTGTTTATATTTTTTATCTTTTTCTTCTTCTTCCTATTCTTAAAGAATACCCTTCAACATTTCATATAATACTGGTTTGGTGGTGATGAACTCCTTTAGCTTTTTCTTATCTGTGAAGCTCTTTATCTGACCTTCAATTCTAAATGATAGCTTTGCTGGGTAGAGTAATTTTGATTGTAGATCCTTGCTATTCATCACTTTGAATATTTCTTGCCACTCCCTTTTGGCCTTCATAGTTTCTGTTGAGAAATCAGCTGACAGTCATATGGGTACTCCCTTGTAGGTAACCAACTGCTTTTCTCTTGCTGCTTTTAAGATTCTCTCTTTATCTTTAGCCCTTGGCATTTTAATTATGTTGTGTCTTGGTGTGGTCTTCTTTAGGTTCCTCTTATTTGGGACTCTCTGTGCTTCCTGGACTTGTAAGTCAATTTCTTTCACCAGGTAGGGGAAGTTTTCTGTCATTATTTCTTCAAATAGGTTTTCAATATCTTGCTCTCTCTCTTATTCTGGCACCCCCATAATGCAAATGTTGGTATGCTTGAAGTTGTCCCAAAGGCTCCTTACACTATCTTCATATTTTTATATTCTTTTTCTTTTTGCTTTTTTGGTTGTGTGTTTTTTGCCTCCTCAAATTTCACATCATTGATTTGATTCTTAGAATCCTCTACTATACTGTTGAATCCCTGTAAGTTATTCTTTTTTTTTAATGTATTTTATTGATTTTTTACAGGGAGGAAGGGAGAGAGATAGAGAGTTAGAAACATCGATGAGAGAGAAACATCGATCAGCTGCCTCCTGCACATCTCCCACTGGGGATATGCCCGCAACCCAGGTACATGCCCCCGACCGGAATCGAACCCGGGACCTTTCAGTCCGCAGGCCGACGCTCTATCCACTGAGCCAAACCGGCTTCAGCTGTATATTATTCTTTATTTAGTTAGTGTATGCTTAATTTCTGACTGGCCCTTTTCCATGTGTTTGGCATGCTCACTAAGATCCTTGAAAGTCTCATTAAGTCGCTTGGAGGTTTCTAGAAGTTTCTTGAGTGACCTTATAACTGTGGTTTCGAATTCTATATTCAATAGTTTGCTTTCTTCCATTTCTTTTATTTGTCACACTAGAGGCCCAATGCATGTAGATTCGTGCAACAATAGGCCTTCCTTCCCCTGGCTGCCAGTACCACCTTCGCTCTGGCCCGGAGCTGCCTTCTGCCTTCATGTGCTGCCCAGAGGCCTGGAGCAGCTGGGGTGGGGTGGAACACCTGTGTCGATGCAAGCATCCTGGCCTGGCCACCGCCATCTTTGTCACGTCAATTTTCATATTCCTTCCTTATTGGCTGTGGGCACTGCCATCTTTGTAGTGAAGTGATGGTCAATTTGCATATGGGAGTTTGATTTTTAATGTTTTGAGGAAACTCCATACTGTTTTCCACAGTGGCTGCACCAGTTTGAATTCCCACCAGCAGTGCACAAGGGTTCCCATTTCTCTATGACCTCACCAATACTTGTCATTGGTTAATTTGTTGATGATAGCCATTCCGACAAGTGTGAGGTGATATTTCCTTGTTGTTTTGATTTGCATCTCTCAGATGACTAGTGACTTTGAGCCTTTTTTCATATGTCTCTTTGCTTTCTGCGTGTCCACTTTGGAGAAGTGTCTATTTAGGTCTTTTGCCCATTTTTTTTTTTTAATATATATTTTATTGATTTTTTACAGAGAGGAAGGGAGAGGGCTAGAGAGTTAGAAACATCGATGAGAGAAACATCGATCAGCTGCCTCCTGCACACTCCCTACTGGGGATGTGCCCGCAACCAAGGTACATGCCCTTGACCGGAATCGAACTTGGGACCCTTGAGTCTGCAGGCTGACGCTCTAGCCACGTGAGCCAAACCAGTTAGGGTGCCCATTTTTAAAAATTGGATTGTTCGTCTTCCTTTTGTAAGTTGTATTAGTTCCCTGTATATTTTGCAGGTTAACCTCTTGTCAGATGCAACATTGGCAAATATGTTCTCCTATAGGTGGGCTCTCTTGTTATTTTGTTGATGGTTTCTTTTGCTGTGCAGAAGCTTTTTATTTTGATGTAGTCACATTTGTTTATTTTCTCCTTAGTTTCCATTGTCCTAGGAGATGTATTAGTAAACATATTGCTATGAGGGATGTCTGAGATTTGGATACCTATGGTTTGTTTGAGGACTTTTATGGTTTCACATCTTACATTTAAGTCTTTTATACATTTTGAGTTTATTCTTCTGTATGGTGTAAGTTGTTGGTCTAGTTTTATTTTTTGCATGTATTTGTCCAATTTTCCCAACACCATTTATTGAAGAGACTGTCTTGACTCCACTGTATGCTCTTGCCTCCTTTGGAAAGTATTAATTAAGAATAGTGGGTTGGGTTGATTCCGGGGGTCTCTGTTCTGTTCCATTGGTCTAAATGCTGTTCTTGTGCCAGTACCACATTGTTTTGAGTACAGTG